CTCACGTCCTCCTCCCCCAAAGGCATGATGGACGCTTCACCTCTGCTTTCGTTTCCGATCCCAACCACCTGCACCTCCTCCTCTCCCATCGACTGCCAGGCATGATGGAGGCGCTACTGGAGAGCGACCTGCAGGGGGGGCAACAGCTCTCAACTTTCTCCCGTGCCTTCCCCTCCACTGTCCCAATCACCCCCACCTCACGTCCTCCTCCCCCCAAGGAATGATGGAGGCGCTACTGGAGAGCGAGCTACAGGGGGGGCAGCACCGGGACCTGGCAGTGGCCAAGGAGTGTGCAGCAGCCATCGTGGGGCAACTCAACTCCGTGCTCGACCTCGCCAAGCTGCACGCCGGCCGCCTCTCCCTCGAGACTCTCCCGCTCTCCCTGCACCACTGCGTTGACATGGTCGCCCGCGACTTGCTGCCCGAGGCCTGCAAGAGGGGCGTCCACAGTGAGTCCGTTCGATGTTTGCCCTGGGATTGCGAGTTGCAAGAGTTACCAAGATGGGTTGGGTTGGGAGATATGCACGGACAGGTGGGTGAGCCAGCAGCATGGCTCATCTGCATGAAATGGGAAGCTTCAAGGTTATGTTCAGCTCTGCGGCCCGTTGGAATCTAGCACAACTGTGTTATTGTCGTGCAATTGTAACACCCAAATCTGGGTTTACACTTTGGGCCAAGGCGCCCCATCCAATTCTGGTTGGGGGTACCGGAAACCCCGTTGATCGCATTTCATGGGGGGAACCACTTGGCTGGTTTATCCCAACCATTATTGGCCTCTTCGAGTCATTGGCGGCGAGCCCAAAGCTTTACTTGGTTACCATTCTCATTGGTCCACTAATAATGCCTTGGCTACCCAACCAAGTTCCCTTCAGATTTAAGTCATAACCTCTGTCACTGAGAATATGAGGTACCCGAATCCCCTCCTTTTCATACCATGCCTATGTCCAGTGGTGTGCCAGGTGGACTGCAGTGTGCCCGAGGTGCTGCTGGGTGATCCGCTGCGCCTCGCTCAAGTTGTCAGGGAGCTCATCAGTGAGTGCTGCCGCACACCATAGCATCTCTCCGCTCCGCCTTGTGCTTTTCTGCTCATGCCGTGCTGTTAATTGTCCTTCCACTTTTTCCTCACTGTTGCTGTGGCTGCGGTTGTCACTTGTGCTGTCGCTGTTATTGTGATGCTGTTGCTGATGCTGCTCTGTGCTTGTTTGTTTCTACATTTGACTTGTGCTCGATTCACATGTATCTTCGTTTCAGTCGCATCCCTCACTACTGTGCCCTGCCCTGTGTTTTGCTCCACCCATCCCTGCCATCAGGTCATGCCATCCGCACCACCATATCAGGCCATGTGGCGTTTAGAGTGTTGTGCATCCCCATGCCCTCTCCCAGCACCCTTGGGTGTTCGCCCCTCACCCCGCCTCTCACCACACCCGCGCCTGCTGATGCCATGACGCCTTCACAAGCTGCTGCCGACCCATCAAATGCTGCTGCTGCACCTTTGAATTCTGCTGCGGCATCACATGCTGCTGCACCTTTGAATTCTGCTGCGGCATCACATGCTGCTGCTGCGGCGGCGGCGGCGGCAGCATCGGGCTCAGCGGGTGGGGAAGGCGGAGTGCAGTGTAAGGCATGGCTTGCATCATGGCTGGATGAGGCCTGCCGCCAATGCAGTGGTGGCAGTGACAGCAGTGGGGGAAGTGGGGGCAGTGGCACCATTCTATCAGCCAAGGCGGCAGCAGCAACTGCAGCTGCAGCAGGAGAGGGAAGCAGCGATGGGGAGGGAGGTGGGGCAGGAGTAGACTACAGCGAACCTGGGGGAGAGGAAGGCAGGGAGGAGGCGGAGAGGGAGGTGGGGCAGATGCGAGCACTGCTGAGAGAACTGGAGGGGTGTGTGAGTCGCTTCAGCGATGGCTCTGTCGTGTGTGCGGCCGTTGACACTGCTGCTGATGCGGCTGATGATGTTGAGGAGGGGTGTAGGAATGAGCGACATGGAGGGGCAGAACAGAAGGAACGCAAGACAAAGCCAGCAGTGCCGTCCGCATGGTGGGGGTGGAGGCAGTCAGCGTTTTGGAGGTGTGTGAAGAACCGACTGCTTGGGTCAAGGGGGGCTGAGTCCGGGTCGCAAAGCCCTGGCGGTGATGGTGGTGCACCTGCTCTCTCTGCTCCCTCTGCTCCATCTGCTCCCTCTGCTCCCTCTGCTCCCTCTGCCCCCTCTGCTCCCTCTGCCCCCTCTGCTCCCTCTGCCCCCTCTGCTCCCTCTGCCCCCTCTGCCCCATCTGCATCCACTCATCCTGTTTCCCATAGAGCAGCAATAGCAGGTAACAGAGAAGTTCATCAAGGGGAGGCACGCAGAGAGGAAGGGGACAGTAAAGAGGGAGCGGGGGGAGGAGAGGGAGGGGCGGGCAGAGGGGGGTTGCTGGTGGTGATGGTGTGTGAGGACACGGGTGGTGGTATATCACCGGAGGAGCTGCAGTGGGTGCTGGACCCAGAGGGGCGGGCAGCAGTGCAGAGCAGAGGAGATTCGTTGCTGCAAAGGGGAGTTTCTAATAAAGGGCGCATGGTGCGTGCTGCGACCCATGCCATGCCATGTCATGCCATGCCCCACGATTCCTTCCAATCACTGCCTCCCAATCACTGCCTTCCAATCACTGCCTTCCTCACATGTTTTGAGGCGTCTCAAACTCGCTCCATCTGTGCTTTCTTCCTTTCCCCCCTCACCTCTCTCCAGAATGAGGCGCCACTTGTGTCGCCCATGTCTGCCCTGCATCGCTCCGTGGACTTCTGGCCCGGCTCTGCTGCACCTCCTTCTCAGCCCTCCTCTGCGCCTGCATGGGAGCCCTACCCCGTTCGCTTCCTGCTCTCCACAGGCCTGGTCAGTGAAGCCTTACATCCGTGCACACCTGCATTGCCCACACGCTGATTGCCCTCCTTGCTGTGCTGATTGCCCTCCTTGCTCTGGTGATTGCATCGCACGTTGGGACTCGGGCATGCACTACTCTTCACACACCACCATGCCATATACTTGTTCTACTGCATGCTTCACATGCCACCACTGACATGCCCCAGTAGCATCTATCCACAACGTTAACTACTGAAGAGGTTCATGTGCCTCATCATGTGTGTGTGTGCGCGCGCGTGCGCGCGTATGCATGTGCGTGTGGTTTTGTACATGTGGATGGCAGGTGAAACTAATGCGGGGGACCATGGGAATAGCAACGCAGCACCATGTGGGTACCACCATCCTCATCAGCCTTCCAATGGCCGCCTGCCATCTGTCAGAAACTGGTGCTGTTGCTGCTGATGCCGGTGGTAGTGGTGGTTGTGGTGGTAGTGGTGGTAGTGGTGGTTGTGGTGGTAGTGGTGGTAGTGGTGGTTGTGGTGGTAGTGGTGGTAGTGGTGGTTGTGGTGGTAGTGGTGGTAGTGGTGGTTGTGGTGGTAGTGGTGGTAGTGGTGGTTGTGGTGGTAGTGGTGGTAGTGGTGGTTGTGGTGGTAGTGGTGGTAGTGGTGGTTGTGGTGGTAGTGGTGGTAGTGGTGGTTGTGGTGGTAGTGGTGGTAGTGGTGGTTGTGGTGGTGGGATGGCGGGCCGGGGTGCGAGTGCAGAGGTGCACGAGTGGGTGGATCATCGCAAGGCCATCTGCTCGCTTGTGGCGGGCAAGACAGCGCTGCTGCTGGATGCCATGCCGCTCAGAGCACAGGTGCATTGCACGATCCCCATGTGTGTGTTTATTGTTGCTGCATCATGCCATCAGCCATTGGCCATGCTTCATTGGTAGCTTTATCTGCTCCTGGAGTGCTTCCCTCCTCCTTCTCGGTTTCTTTCCCTTCATTTCATGACCGCTGCTGCTGTGCGTGCTGCCACCAGGCAACGGAGGCGTGTCTGCGCTACCTGGGAATGGACGTCACTCTGGCAGCCTCGCCCGCACAGGCCATGCGCCTCATGCGCCACCCACCCACCACCACCACCGGCGGCGGCAGCAGCAGCGGCGGTGGCGGTGGCGGCAGCGGTGGAGGAGGAGGGTGGGACGTGGTGCTAGTAGACGTGGACGTTGCTGGCCCGCGCACAGGCCTCCACGTGGGCGAAAAGATTCTGCGCCACGCGGCTGATGCAGCCGCTGCTTCTGCTGTTGCTTCCGATGCTGCCACGAGCTCCCAGGGTCGGCAGGGTGGGGGCGAGGCAGGGCGAGAGGCAGGGCGGGCAGTGGTGGTGCTGACGGGGGCGAGGGCAGACAGTGTGGAGAGCGAGCAGGCGGAGAGGATGGGGTTTGCGGCTGTGCTGCCGCACCCATGGCTTGTCACTCACACCACACACTGCCTGCAGCATGTGAGTGCCGGGAGAGGGTGGTGCCAGCAACTCTTGACATGAAGCTTCCTACCATCATCTCCTGCTCTCCATCCCAATCTGCATGCGCTAGCGGTTTAACCTCCCATTCCTTCCCCTCCTTCATCTCTCTCACGCAGCTCTTCTTTCGCACTGCAGAGCGGCCGCCATCCAGTCCGCGAGGCAGCACCCAAAGTGCCACTCCAACCACACCCACCACCTCTGCCTCGCCGGCGCCTCCCACCCACCCACCCCCTAGTCGCTCCCTCGGGCCCCCACTTCCCAACGACACAGCCTTGTTGTCTCCAAGTGCCTCCAACCCACCTCCAGCAGCAGTGCTCAGCCCGTTGGCGGTGCGGCGCGTGGCGCCGGAGGAGGAGCTGAGGGCGCTGGTGGGGCAGCAGGCGGTGGTGGTGGTGGATGACAACGCTGTCAACCGCGCCGTCGCCAGACGCACGCTGCTCGCACTCGGGGCTCTCGTGCACTTGGCAGCGGGAGGCGCACAGGCGCTGGACTGGCTGCGCCAGCACATGGCTGCTGCCACCCGCGGCGGGCAGGAGGGGCTGGGGCAGCAGCAACAGCAGCAGTGGCAGGCGGAGGGGCAAGAGGCAGAGCGCGCTGTGCCGCTTGTGCTGTTGGACCTTCAAATGCCCGACATGGACGGGTGCGTGTGGTACACATGTCCTCCCTTCATCGTTTCTTTCTGTATGTGCCTAGTCTATGTGCCTGCTGCTCTTTTGCTGATAGCAGCTTCGTCTTCGTCTCTAAACCACACATCTTCACAAGAAAACAACAACATCAAAGCACAATCCACCATGCGCAACCCCCTGCCATGTCGGCCCACCCTCGTGCAGCTACGAGACGGTGCGGCGCATCCGAGCCATGGAGGTGGAGGCCGCTGCAAGTGACACCCCGGCGGGTGAAGCTCATGCGGGAGGCAGCAGGGGCTGGCGGCGGCGGTGGTGTGTGGTGGCGCTGACAGCGGATGTGGACGGCGATGTGCGGCGGGCGTGTGCTCAGGCCGGCATGGATGGCGTCGTCGCCAAACCCATTGTGCCGCGCGACCTCCTCGCTGCGCTCAAGAGCGCCGGCTACCGCAGTTAGTTGACCGGTGCATAGATAGGGAGATATGTGTCGGAGTAGCAGTGCTACTGTAACACACGCAGCACAACCTATCTCACTTTCTCCGCGGCGGTAGGTAAAAATCTCAACGCGGTGTTAAGGATCCTCAATTTGGATGAGTAACATTTTGTGGTGCCAAGGTACCAGTTTAACCAAGTGGTGCTTTTGGTGAGCGAGGGAGCGCATGCGGTACTTTTGGTTAACACTGGTGAAATTCTTCCCGCCTCACTTGCCTCGACTTTCTCCACTCCACCGGTGGTGCCGCTTGCAGCCTTGCACTGCACTCTCTTAACGCCTTTCCTCTCCGGAGTGACTTTTGAGTCCGCTAAAAACTGCAGCCTGGCATTGCACTCTCTAACGCCTTTCCTCTCCGGATCCGCATCACGTTGCTTCGTCATCTCCGAGTCACCTGGAATGGTCCATGCCCTGACTGCCCTGCGTGCCTGGACAATTTTCTAGAGGCAAGGAATGGTACCGGCGGTACCATATTAGCGTTCGCCTTGTGATGGGATGGGAGCTGTAGGAATGGAGTAAGTCGTTCCTCCCTCTCTTTTCTTCATCCCATGGCCTGCCTTACTATTTCCCCATGCACTCATGCCTGGGTTGGGTTGGGAGGTACGGTAACAGACATTCAGCCTCAATGAATGGTTTTGAGGTGGATTACTGCGGAGGGGCAGATGAGCAAAGGGTAGAAGAGGGAGGGGACCTTTTGGTGGGGCCACCTTATTTGGTGTGGCTGTTCTGTAGCTGGTGTTTTGGGCTCTGACCGGAATTTGCTAGGTATGCTGATACGGTAAACAGAAGTATGGTACGGTACCTGAGAGGTTTTCCTGAAATCGGTCATTCTGAAGAGGCAAGAACAATGGTTGGTAGGGTATGTCATAGATAAAACTTCAGACATCATTTTCCTCCTTCACGTCAAACTTGGTATCACGTATCGGTAGCGTTACAAGTTACGTACAACCCTGTTCAACTTGGCACATGGCCATTTTGTCCCATACCGGTAACTCAGTTGTGTTTCAGGCGTGCCTGCCTGTCACAACACCCGAAGCAGAGGCAGCAGCAGTAGTGACGATGGTCGAAGTGCAAAAGAAGCAACTGCATGGAGGGAGGAGGCAGGCAAACACATGCCCCGCTGCACACGTGCTGGTTGCATTACACGTGTGCCCTGCACTCGTGTCATCTGTGCCGGTTGCATTACATGTGTGCCCTGCATATGTGTCATCTGCAGCACTACACCTGTACATGGCTCATGTTGCCACCGCCACATGTGTGGATACGCTAGCTGTGGCTGATGATAGACGCGAAACTTGAGGGGAAAGGAGCGAACGCAGGTGGGGGGTGGCACGATGGTGCCAACACACATTCTGTGTGTTGCATTGCAGCACAGCTTCCTCAGCATTGCACCACACCCCCCTGCGCACAGCCCAGGAGGGTTGCGGACAAGTACCAGGAACATGGGAAGCACAGAGGGAGGTGGAATGAAATGTAGAGCCCTGGCAATGCAGCAAGGTGAGTGCCGCCTGCAGACCAAAAATGCTGTTTACCATTGCAGGTACTGGTATGCACACATCTGCTGGTGAAAAAATGAGACCAAAAGAGCCAGATAGAGACACTAACATCACTAAACAAGCACTAACAGTGATTGACAACACTGAAGGTGCGTCATGCATGCGCAATTGCAGCAACATACACATGTGCTCTGTGGGTATGAGATCAACTGCGCTGGCGCTTGGCTGCTTGTCTGGTCACCCTGCCTGTACCCATGGCAGTCACAGTCACAGTCATAGCACCACCACCGCTTCCACTCAACCCCACCACTGAAGCCTTCACCTCCTCCGTAGCCTCCACCACTGACCATGGCCCTGCCCCTGTCCCTTGCCCTGAACCTGTCGATGGTGCTGCAGTGGCAGTAGCAGCAGGTGCAGCAGGTATGCCAGTGGAAACAGCACGCCTACCTCGCTTCCCTCTACCAGTGGCAATTGCTGTCACATCTGCAGCAGCTGCTGCTGCTGGGGTGGCTGCTGTTGCAGATCTTGCCCTTCGTGCTGGTAGCGCTGCTTTTGTCCTTGCTGCAACGCTGTCGTCACCAGACTCGTTGACAACCGGTACCTCACTTGTCTGACCTATGCTCCTTCCAACGCGGTCTGCACCGTTCTGCTCTGAAGCTCCAGCTTCACCAGCGGGTTCCTGTTCCTGTCCCCGCCCATCCTCACTCTCACTCCCATTTCCATTCTGGATCCTCTCCTCATCCTGCATTGCCTCCTCCTCCTCCTCCCTTTCCTCTCGCTTTCGCCGACCCACTCGGATTTTTGCTGCCCTTGCCGCAACGACTGCTCCTGTCCCCTCAGAATCCCCTCTTGCTCGCCTACGGCTGTTCTTTGTGTTGGACCCTTTTCGTAAAACAACACGCCCGGTCTTGACCTTGCTTCTCGTCTCTCCTCTCTTGCCTACAGCGTCACCTTCCTCCTCCTCATCCATCTCCTCATTCTCCTCTTCATTTCCCTCTGCCTCTTCCTCGTCCTCTTCTTCTTCCTCCTCCTCTTCTTGCTCCTCGTCCTCCTCCTCTACTTGCCTCTCATCCCTCCCACCCATTCTCCCACGACGCCCCTTCCTCCCCACCACACCTTCTGCGCTACGCCCATTCGCCCTGCCTGCTTCTGCCGCCACTGCTGTTGCCTCTCCATCTCTCCTCCTCCTCAGGCTCCTCCCCGCCCCGCTCTCAGCAGCGCCTGCGGAGGAGGCAGCCTTGGCCCCACGAGGCAGCTTCTGCACTGCTGGCACGATGGCTGAAGTCTGGCAGGTAAGGGCGAGCGGAGGGAAAAAGGGTGATATGGGGAGAAGGGTGGTGGCACAAGAAACACTCTGAAAGGGCCTCACGAGGCAGCTTCTGCACTGCTGGCACTATGGCTGGCGTCTGACAGATGACGGCGAGTGGGGGAGAGAAAGGGTGACGACGGGAGGAAGGGCAAAGGACACACTCGAAAGTGGCCTTGGAAGACAGCTTATGCACTGCCGGCACAGTGGCTGCCAGAACAGTGGCTCCCGGCACAGTGGCTGCCTCTTGGTGTTGGTGGTATAGTCGCTCGCTACATGTTAGTCACGATCGCATGTGAGGCAGGCACAAGTGGCAAGAGGCAGAACAGGGAGAACGAGAGAGAGATAGAGAGGAGCGAGAGCCGTCAAAGGAGGACAGGTGGGCTGCGGAGGCCTTACTTCCATCAACTCGTGCTGTTTCAGAACAGGGAGAACGAGAGAGAGATAGAGAGGAGCGAGAGTCTAGGGGGGGGAGTGATAGGGGGTAAGGGTGGAAGGGAGCATACCCGGCCAGCGACGGTGATGAAGCTGAGCGGATGGCCTGCAGTTCAGTGAGCGATGTGAGGGCAGAAGGGAACGAACATGGGAAAAATAAAATCTATGGAAGAGGGTGAATGAGAAGTCGAAGGGTGGACCGAAAGGGAGCATATCCGGCCAGCGACGGTGATGAATCTGAGCAGATGGCCTGCAGAGAAGAGTGGGGTGTGGGGGCAGAAGGGAAGGATCATGGGGAGGCGGAAATTGACGGAAGAGGGTGAGAATAAAAGGCAGCATACCCGGCCAGCCACGGCGATGAAGCTGAGTGGATGGGTTGATGCAGAAAGAGTTGTGGGAGTTGGGGCGAGAGCACAACAGAGAGATGCTGAGGGAGAGCGTCACAAGGAGAGATGCACGGTAGAGACAAGACTTTGGGTTGGGCAGATGGTGGCCTTTACACGGCATCTAGAAGAGGCACGTGAAGGAAAGGAAGTGAAGATGGAACGGAAAGAACGAACTTTGATGGTGAACGCGTCTCGCTTGGTGAACTTCTGAGACGTGTCAAATCGAGTCACGATGGACCAGAACCTGATTGTCAACATAGAGCTTTAAAGCCCTAAATAATCGAGGCTTGTCAACCTTGACTTGACGCGCTAAGTCAACAGCAAGTGAGATTGTAGGTACGAGCGAGGGAGAACGTACCATCGATGGAGCCGGGCTTCTTGGACCAGCGCACATGGAAGAGCCAGGAGGGTGGGAAGCGGTCACTGTCCGCGTCTACTGCCACGGACTTGCTGATCACCTGATGGGCGGGGGGGGGGGGGGGGAGGGAGGGGCATTTGCAGGCAGAAGGGAACGGAGAAGAGGGAGGGGGAGAGGTGGGCGTGGGAAGAGAGGGCAGGAGGAGGATAGTTGAGAGCAGTGTGATGGTGAAGGTGTTGCTAGAACATGATGCTGTGTCACGTGACGTGTGCCGTGTGCCGCGGTGAGGAGGCGATGCGATGCTGCGTTGCTTGGAGCTCCTGACGCGCCCAGCCCAAGCTCACGTGATGAATGGGGAGGAAGAAGCATCTTATGTCCTTCGCCCAAGTCCTGTCAAATGCCTGCCGGTGCCCCCCACGTCCCCCCCCCCAACCTGCTGCATGGAGGGGTGCAGAGCGGTGCTGTGCGTGCCCAAACCCACCTGCTGAATGGAGGAGTGCAGAGCGGTGCAGTGCACATCTGAGAGCAGTGCGGAGGGGGTCTCTGGGTGCAATCGTGACTGATGGGGGGAAGAGACGGGGGGCAGGGGAGGGCATCGGGGGAGGAAATGGGTAAGCCTAAGGCTTGGTACTATAGGGATACTGTTAACTTGACCACAGGGATAACCGTTACCAAGTATTAGACTATTGCAAGAAACTGAAAATTGTGCGCTGGAGGGGAGGGCAATGGGTGAGGATTGAAAGGGGGCGGTTGGGAGCTGGGAAGGAGTAGGGGGGGGGGGAGGAAAGGGAGGGAGTGGAAAGGAGCGGCAGAAAGGAGCGGCTTTTGAGTCGACTCAAAAGAAGAAGCAGGGGAGGAGGAGGGGAGGGAGTGTTAGGCATGGCAGAAAGGAGTGGGCAAGGAGGAGGGGGTGGTGGTGTTTAAGAAAGGTAAGAGAAGATAAGGGACGCACGTGGGACGAGAAGGGAAATGAGGAATGAGGGGATGCATAGCAGGGAAGCTTGACCCCAGTGGGGTAGGGGTAGGTGGAGGTGGAGTAGAGTAATGGTAGCGCACACATGAAGAAGATAAGGCACGAACAATGTGGTAGATTGATTAGTGGCAGTGCACTGGCAAGCAAGCAAGCAGCCGTCCATTGCTCACTGGTTGGCTCACTCACCTGGTACAGCACTTCATCCGCCAACCAGTTCCTTGTGATGCTTTTTGAGTCGACTCAACAATCACCTCCTGGCAACCAACCCTCCATTGCTCGGCTCGCTCACCTGGTACAGCACTTCATCCGCCAACCAGTTGCCTATGCCGCTCAGCACTGCCTGCACGCATGCACGCATGCACACATGCACACCCACACCCACACCCACACCCACCCACACACACACACACACATACACAGGAAGAGAGGAAGAGAATTTGTGGCGGCAGGAGGGAGGAGCGGAGGGGGAGAGAGATAGGACCGGTTGAGAGAGAAGGGGACGCAGGCCAGAGAGGAGGTGGCTTGAAAAGTGCATGCCGTGGTGTGTTGCCCTTGCGCCACCCCTGAGAATCCTCAACAGCGGCATTCCCGTGAGATCACGAGATGGCGTTGGACATCACCAGGTTTATGAGCCCATTCTATCATCCACGAGCTCCAACCACCTGGTCCATGAGCCCCCAACCTATGTTGAAAGCACTTTTGAGAATTCTCAAAACTGGTCCATGAGCCCCCAACCTATGCTGAAAGCACTTTTGAGAATTCTCAAAACTGGTCCATGAGCCCCCCCCCCACCCACCTGGTCCATGAGCAAAGCTTTGACTGCCCGTGAGCGGCGGCGCAGGAGAGAGGCGAAGGAGACGGGATCGGGCAAAGAGAGCAGCACGTCGGGACCTAGTTGCGCCACAGGGGGGCACAGCAACGGCTGGGTTGGCAGAGGCGGAGTTGAGGAAAGCGGGAGAGGAAGAGGCAGAGCGAAGAAAGGAAACGGTGATTCATTCGCGTCAAGATAAGAGCTCTGCCTCTCCCTCTCATTTGACAGAGAGCAGCATGTGTGGGCCTGGCTGCGCGGCCTGTGCCACGGGGGGCCACACACAGAAAGGGCTGGGGAAATGGAGGGGGAGAGGGAGGAGAGTTGGGGGCGGATGTACGGGGTTGGTGTAAAGTGGAATGGGATGGATGGGATGGAATGGGATGGGATGGGATGGGATGGGATGGGATGGGATGGGATGGGATGGGATGGGATGGGATGGGATGGAATGGGATGGAATGGGATGGGATGTGAGCTGACATGGGGAGTGTGCTAGGGAGGGAATGGCACGGTGGAACCGTTTACGCTGAACCCTTCCCTCCCAACCCAACTCCTCTCTTCCCCTTCGCTCCCCTCCCAGCGCCTCGCCTCTCCAACTCCCAACGCTCCCAGTCCCCTCCCACCTCCCTCCCACGCGCTCACATCAGGCGCGAGGCGGATGCGGCCAAAGCGACGCGCATCGGTGAAGGCCAGCTGCACCCCGCCCTCCGCCTGCACGGGGGGGACAGGCGGATGGGTGGAGAGAGGGTGAGCGGATGAGAGGGTGAGATGGGTGGAGCGGAGGAGGGGGGGAGGAGGGGGGGGAGGTGGAGAGGAAGAGCAAGGTCCATGTGAGTCAAAATACTGGAAATGTGGGCGTGTGGTTTGTGCTCAAGTGCGTGAGACATCATGGATCCTCCTGCAGGCACGGAACCCACATGCCACCTGCCCCAGACGCCACCTGCCTGCAGCACGAGCTTGTGGAACCGCGGCGGCCACTCGTCTGCTGGCGACACTGCCAGCCTGTCAGCGCCCCATGGTAGGTGCACATGAGGTATGGGGCGGAGAGGGGAAAGCGGGTAGATGGGGGTGGAAGCAGAAGTGGAAGCGGAAGGGGATGGGGAGTGGGGGGGAGGAGGAGAGGTGGTGGAGAAGGAGTGTGAGTGGGCAAATGGTGCAATGCAAATGGTAAAGGCATGGCCAGGGTAGGTAGGTAGCACTGTGGTAGCACCGCGGCGCGGCAGCAGCCATTCATGCACACAGATGGTGCGCTAGTGGGGCGTTTTTTGAGGGTAGAATTTCTAAAAGGGAGATAGGCAGCACCAGAGTGGCTGGTGGGTGGGAGACGGTGACAAAAGGTGAGGTGAGGGCTGTCGGGAGCGGTGGGGGGCGGTGGGGGACGGTGGTGGGCAGTGGGGACAGACGCAGCACACGCGTTTACCTTTTGTAGCGCACGACGTTCTCCCCCTTGATGGCGAACGCGCCCGCCATGCCTGCTCCATACCACACCACACACACGCATGGGGCGACGGGGGGGATGAGAGCAGCGAGGACGGATTGCGGACAGGACGGATGAGGGATGCAGGAGCGTGATGGACGGGTGGACGGCGGGTGGACGGGTGGACGGGTGGGCGGTTGGACGGGACTTAGGTAGGGCAAGGGGAGAAGGGGAAGGAAGAGGAGTCGGCGGAAGGAGGGGGGGTGTGGGGGCGGGGTGATGGGTTTGAAAGGAAAAGAGGGCAGAGGTGTGACGGGAGGGGAGGAGAGGGGAGGGGAGGGGAGGGGAGGGGAGGGGATGGCGAGGAAGAGGGAGAGCGGGGGAAGCTTTCGGGTAAAAACGATGTGGGAGCAGACACTGCGGAGGAGAGCCCACCGCGCCCACCGCGCGTGCGGAAGTGGAAATGCGCGGCATGGGCGGCCGGTCCAGCAGCAACAGCAGCCAGAGGTGCTTTTTGAAGCGCTTGTTCTAGCAACAGCAAGTCGTACCGAAGTGGAATAGCGGCATGGGCGGTTGATCTAGCAACAGCCAGAGCGCGCTGATGAAGGCCACCGGCCGAAACGCGCGTACGCTCAGGTTTGAGTCGACTCAAAAGTCACCTCGCGGCGCCTCACAAGCCGTACCGAAGTGGAATAGCGGCATAGGCGGTTGATCTAGCAGCAGCCAGAGGTGCTTGCCCTTGCGCCCCGCGCCCACCACCACGCGACCCTGCAGCGCCGCGCGCACCTCCTCCGCGCTGCACCCGTCCAGGACCTTCGCGTCCTCCGCCACCACTACCGACAGAATCCGCCGCCCCACCAGATGCGCCTCCGCTGCGCGCCGAGCTGCCTCGACCTCGGGAAGCTCGGGCATGGCGCGGAGAAGGGAGGAGCCGGGAAATAAGGGGAGCCCGCCGGAGAGAGAGGAAGCAAGGGAGATTTGGGGAACGCGCGGGTGAGGTACGCCAGGGGATGGTGAAGGGACGGGAGGGGAGGCGGGAGGATGGGAATAGCAAGCGCCACGCCACGCCACCAGCGCACAGTCGTCAAAATGCCAGCCGTGTCACGGTCTAATTGAAACGTCGCATTGCTCAAAGCCCCGCGAACCGTCGCACATGTTTCGCGTCTGTACTTGATTGATGTTGACGAAAATTTCACCACGTTCTCGCTTTCGGGTAGTGCCACGTACTGCGACACAGGCCACTCATCTCAACCCTGTAACAACATTCAAATCCATCAAGAAACAAAATGTCGAATTTCGTGAGCTGATCCACCACACCTTTCGCCAGCAACATCACGGAAGTAAATAATCGTGTATCGTTAAAAAGGTTATAGACGCTGACGTAGTAACGACTTTCTCAATAGCGACCACGGATGTATGCTTCTCCACCACTGGCGTCAAGACGACGCTGCCTGCCTGACTTGCCTCACCCCAGGCCAGGGATTACACACAGCAGTCAGAACAACAGCTGTTCCTCTCTCGCATTCCAGCATCTACATCCGCCCTCGTCCGTCCCACGGGCCACGGCCCAGTTCGTGTGCTGGTCGGAACGGGAGGGGAACTTTTTGCCGGACTGGAAGGCTTGCAGCAACCCATTAGATCACAACCGATCTCATTCCATCGCATCGGATCGCGTCTCATCCCGTCCCCGTCGCATGCCGTCGTGACATCGCATCATCGTGCCGCCGTGCTTGCGCGGTCTACAGCACACGCCGATTCGCGCGCCGCGACCCCTCTCGTGCCGCCACGTGCTTGGCAGCTAAAGTCGCACAGCCCTCGTGCAATCGCGTACGACAGTATACCGGCTTACGCTGTAACAGCTCGCTCAGCGTCAACGCCGTCAACGCGGTCAAGGCAGTCAACTCCGTCAGTGCCACGCCACCAGCGCACAGTCCTCCCCTCTCCCCTCCCTCCCCTCCGCGTCGTCCTCGCGCCGCATCGGGTCGTAAGAGCCCAGAACTCAGAGAAATTCCTTTCGACGCGTCGCAGCAAGAGCAGCGGCGTCCGTGCGTCCGTGCGTGCGTGCGTCCGTGCGTGCGTGCGTGCGTCTGTGCGTGCGTGCGTGCGTCCGTGCGTGCGTGTGTGCGACTATGCGATGCGCATCGTGTCGTTCAACGTCAACGGGCTGCGCGCGCGAGTGCAGCAGCACGGCTCGCTCGGCGCGCTGCTCTCCGCGCTCGACGCTGACGTCGTGTGCTTGCAGGTGTGCGACCGATTACCGCTCTAGAACAATCTCACTCACCAGATGCCATGCCACCAGCCGCAGCACCGGCACCAGCACCACCGTGGTTATCCAATCCAATGGGGCTCGTGGGAGAAGAGAATGCTGCACAGGGTCGCCCCCCAGGTTCCGAACCTGGAAATGAGTCATATAGCGGGTGTAACGTAGGTTCACCCTGGTACACACACGTACACCACAACTGCCCTCACCACCACGTGTTGCCTGGGCCTGGCTGCATTACTACCGCGTCACTTCACCCTCCTCCGCCCACTCTCCCCGCCCTTTCTCTACTTGCCCGCCTCTTCACCCCCCGTTTCCCCTTCCTCCTGATCCGTCCGCGCTGCCAGGAGACGAAGCTAGCGCGGCAGGACGTGACAGCGGACGTGGCCATCATCACCCCCAGCTACGAGGCGTTCTGAGAGACGTGCCAACGTAGCCGGCCTCCTTTGCCCTCCCCCCACGCGCACCTCCACGCTACTCTGCCTTGAGGCGGATCTAGAGCTGCAGGGCGTGACAGGCAGCAGCTTCTGAGAGACGTGTCATGTCAACTCAACAGGCCTCCCTTTCCCCTGCCCCCAACCCGCACTACCGCGCTGCCTGCCAGGAGACGAAGCTAGCGCGGCAGGACGTGACAGAGGACGTGGCCATCACGCCCGGCTACGAGGCCTTCTTCTCCTTCAACCGCGCCCCCTCCCGCGGCCGCCTCGCCTACTCTGGTCTCTTTCCTCTCCTTCTCTTCTCTTCTTCTCGCCTGCCCGCTCTGCAACCGCTCCCACAACACCCCGTCGTTCTGAGCACGTGTGTGCATGCAGGCGTGCTGTGCTTGAAAGAGGGCCGAGCACCTCTGAAGCAACAGGGAGTGAGTGAGCCTGGGATTTCACGTTCATTCAAGGGTCCGTTCGTCCATCTATCCGTCCGTCCATCCGTCCATCCGTCCATCCGTCCATCCGTCCATCCGTCCGTCCGTCCGTCCGTCCGTACATCTGTCTGTCTATTTAACTGTCCACCAAAGGGGATACGATACGAGTGTGGTGGAAACAGCAATATGAAGGTCAACACGAGCATTGTTGTTCACCTTTGCCGTGCTGCTGTGCGCTGCTCCTTCACTAATAATATATCGGAGGGTCCTTGTTCCTGGCCTTTTCATCGCCCCGTGCTTCGTTCCAACTGCTGTGCTCCCCCACCCCACCCCACGCGTGCAGGAGTGGTGACATTCTGCCGTGTGCCCTCTGCTGCAACGAGCACCACCACGTATGCTGCCACCACAGGCGCCGCCACCACCACCACCACCACCTCCAATACCAACCACGCTACGGCCACCGCCACCACCACTCCCACCACCACAGCAGACACCACCCCCAAGGCTGCAAACACCACCACCCATGCCGCGTCCAGTAACTGCAGCAGCTGCAGCTGCAGAGGCGGCAGCAGCAGGAGGGAGTGGGATGCGATGCCATTCGCTGCTGAGGATGGCTTTACAGGGCTGCTCGCTCCTGCCAAAGTCCCGTGCACCAATACCAAAACCACCACCACTGCCAGTACCACCACCAGCAGCAACAGTGCCACCAGCAGTGGAAAATGCATGGCGACACAGGGAGGGGAGGGCGGGGGGGAGGCAGCACGGAGGGAGGGGGTGGGGAAGGTGGTGGAGGTGGAGGGGGTGAGCAGGGAGGTGCTGAGGCGAGTGGACAGCGAGGGCCGATGCGTTGTCACCCACCATGCCTCGTTTGGTACAACTTTGGTCCATGCCATGGGTTGGCCGGGATGGGATGGGATGGGATGTTTGGGATGCCATGGGTTGTCCACTCCACTCGCCCTTTGGCTTCACTGCTTCGCTCTCTTGCTTTCCCACCCATTTCCCATGCCCCCATTCCTCCCCATGTCGACTTTTGAGTCGACTCAAAAGTCAACTTTCCCACCCATTTCCCATGCCCCCATTCCTCCCCATGTCGACTTTTGAGTCGACTCAAAAGTCAACTTTCCCACCCATTTCCCATGCCCCCATTCCTCCCCATGTCGACTTTTGAGTCGACTCAAAAGTCAACTTTCCCACCCATTTCCCATGCCCCCATTCCTCCCCATGTCCCGTCCTCATCCCAATCCCCTATCCACCTGTCCCCCAGTGCTATTCAACGTGTACGTGCCGCGAGTGGCCCCAGGGGATGCCGAGCGCCTGCGCTTCAAAATGATCTTTCTCACCGCGCTTCAGGTGCTTGGTCGTTGTCAGGTGGTGGTAGGCAGTTTATCCTCCATGCAATCCTCCATGCAATCCTCCATGCAATCCTCCATGCAATCCTCCATGCAATCCTCCATGCAATCCTCCATGCAATCCTCCATGCAATCCTCCATGCAATCCTCCATGCAATCCTCCATGCAATCCTCCATGCAATCCTCCATGCAATCCTCCATGCAATCCTCCATGCAATCCTCCATGCAATCCTCCATGCAATCCTCCATGCAATCCTCCATGCAATCCTCCATGCAATCCTCCATGCAATCCTCCATGCAATCCTCCATGCAATCCTCCATGCAATCCTCCATGCAATCCTCCATGCAATCCTCCATGCAATCCTCCATGCATTTCTCCATGCAATCCTCCATGCAATCCTCCATGCAATCCTCCATGCAATCCTCCATGCAATCCTCCATGCAATCCTCCATGCAATCCTCCATGCAATCCTCCATGCAATCCTCCATGCAATCCTCCATGCAATCCTCCATGCAATCCTCCATGCAATCCTCCATGCAATCCTCCATGCATTCCTCCATGCATTCCTCCAGTCCTCCTATCTTCCCCTCCTCCTTCGTCACTCTCCCTCAACCCCCCACCCCTTCCTTCACCATCTCCCCTCTCCCATGCTCTGCCCTCTCCCCAATCCAACCCTTCGTCCACCACTCTACATGCGACACACGCAGCGAGTTGTTCAGGTGATGCCGGGGCGAATACCTGGGCGAAATCCTGGGCGAAATCCTGGGCGAAATCCTGGTCACTTGTTTATGTGCTTCAAGTAATGTTCCCTACTTCCTCCTTCTCTCCCTCCTTTCTCCTCCTCTCCCTCCTTCCTCCTCCTCTCCCTTCATCCTCCCCCTCCTTCTGTCTTCTCTCACACAATGTATCCTCCTCAATCTCTCTCCTTCCCATGCTCCGCTCTCTTCCACAACCCCCCCACACCTCTCTTACGCCACCATGAACGGGATTTCAACATATGCCCACACTGCCACCCGTACCAGCGGCGCATGCAACGGGAGCTGCAGGCAGGAGGCAAGGCAGTAGTGGTGGCGGGGGATTTCAACATATGCCCACACCCCATCGACTCCTGCCACCCTTGCTCGGACTTTGATAGTGACCCGTATGTGGGATTGGATCAAGGGTGGGCTGATGGGGATGGGTGGCTGCTATGCTGTTGCATGGGTGCAATGGGAATGGGCTGGTTGGGTAGATATTTCACATATGAAACTCATTCATTCATCCGCCCATCCACCCACCCATCCATCCGTCCGTCCGTCCGTCCGTCCATCCGTCCATCCTTCCTTCCTTCCTTCCACCTTCCCCCATGCACCCTCCCCACCTCTTCCTACCCCATCCCACCCCATCCCATCCCATCCCATCCCATCTCATCTCATCCCCACTATGTCACTCTATCAGGTGTCGCCAGTGGCTACACGAGCTTATGGCAAAGCGCCCCTGCTCCAACAGTACCACCACCACCACCACGCCCTCACAGCTCACCCCACACCCGCAACCACCACCGCACACACTTGTTCCTGAAGCTGCAGCCGCAGCATCACAAGCAACAGCCGCAGCAGCAGTAGCAGCGGTAGCAACATCACAGTCTAGAGGCGGGTGCTGTGAGGCATGGCGGGGAGAAGAGCAGCAGCGAGGTTCAGCAATTCCCGGTGGGGAGATGCAGGCGTTACAGGGGGAGCAGGGAGCAGGGAGCGAGGTACAGGGAGCACAAGGGGAGCAGCTGCTGTTTGTCGACACCTTCAGAGCCTTCCATCCCACCAGGTAACCAGTGCATGCCTGGTAGACCAGGCAACCGTGTGACCAACTGGACGAGTTGGACAACTTGGACGATTTGGACGATTTGGACCAGTCAAACAAGGTGTCAGGATAGAGCTAGTTGGGCTAGTTGGGAGCGTGGGGCGCCTCGTTGAAATCCGTCCGTCCTCCTCCTGCTGCTCTACAAAAACATCGCCTGTCCACAACAAGCTCTAATCTGTTCCGAAACCCAGTCACCTTGAACTCTTGTCGTTCTTGCATACCAACGGGTTTGGCCAATGTGCAGCCAAGGTGACTTTTGAGGCGACTCAAAAGTCAATGTGCAGCCAAGGCAATCCCTTTCTGCTCCTCTCTCCTGCTCTCCCCTGTGCTCCCTTCTGCTTCGCTCTCTCTGCTCCTCTCTGCTTCTTACTTCTCCTCTCTCGCTGCCTCTCTGCTGCTCTCCGTACCCACCAGGCGTGAGGCGTTCACGTGCTGGTCGGCAGCGAGTGGAGCAGAGGAGTTTAACTATGGCGTGCGCATCGACCTCATTCTTGTTGCCGGTCCCTGCTTCGCCTGCCCCTTCACTCCTTCCCGTCCCTTCTCTCCCTTATCCTGCTCCTGCTCCCACCACCGCCCCGCCTCCTCGTGTTCGCCCGTCCTCGCCTCTTCTTCCCCGTTACCTTCTCAAGAATGGAACTGCCATGATGCTGCAAATCAGATGCAGCCGCAGCAGCAGGGGCAGCGGCAGCACTCGTTTGCAGCATGTGATGTGGTGGCAGCAGACATTCTCCTCCACTTCCGCCGCTTCAAGCACGACTCCCTGCCACGGTATCCGCCATGCTGTGCTGTGCTGTGCTGTGCTGTGCTGTGCTGTGCTGTGCTGTGCTGTGCTGTGCTGTGCTGTGCTGTGCTGTGCTGTGCTGTGCTGTGCTGTGCTGTGCTGTGTTGTGCTGTACAGTGCTGTGCTATGCTGTGCGGCGACTTGTGCTTAGGTATTTCAACAATCTTTTTCTTTTGCTCGTCCCTTACCTCCCCATTTTCCCGTCTCGATCGTTGCTCTGTTCTCTTCCTGCTCTTCTCTCCATCCCTTTCTCTCATTCCACCTGCCTCCTTCTCGCCCACCACGCTTCTCTTTCCTCCCCTCACCCCCATGTTCCATGCTCCGTGCCCCATGCTCCATTCCCCATGCTCCATTCCCCATGCTCCATGCACCCATTGCAGCTGGCATCAAAGCCGATCGATGCGGCTGCAAGGCTCGGACCACGTCCCCGTTGCCATTCAGCTAAGGGACCCCACCGCACTGCACCGCTCCGTGCCGCACTACACTGCATCGTCTCATACCCCAGCACACCAGACTGCTTCACAGCAAACCGGAGTTCACCGCACTGCATCACAAGGGACTGCAGCACGCCGCTTGCAGGCAGTGCCGGCACTGGCGGCTCGGTTCATGCCGGAGATAAGGGGCAGGCAGGCCACTCTAGGGGAGGCGTGGAAAAGGGAGGTCCGGCAGGAAGGCAAGGTGGGCGAGAGAGCGAGGGTTGGCGAGGCAGAGACGGTGGGCGAGGCAGGGACGGTGGGCGAGGCAGGGGAAAATGCGAGCAATGGGATAGGTCAGGAGGCCATGTTTGGAAGAGGGCATGAGAATCGGGATGAGGGATGGCTTGCTAGAGTGGGCTCTGCTGCTGTGGGCTGCTGCTGCTGCAGTAAGGATGGAGGCTGTGGAAGCCTGGAGGGTTCGGTTGGCAAGGGCAACCCTGGTGTTCACACCACGACAGCACCTGCTTGGGTTGCAGTGACTTGCAGGTGTGGGGAATGCACGAACAGCAAGCACATTGTTGCCACTCCACCTGCTTCCACTCCATCCGTGGCCGTCGCTGATGCAGCGGTGAGAGAAGCGGCAGCGGTTGCAGCGACTGCAGCAGCAGCTTGTGATGGTGATGGTGGTGGTGGTGGTGGTGGTGGTGGGGATGGTGATGGTGGTGTTAGTGTTGATGTTGGCAGAAGAGCCAGTGGAAGTAGTATGAGGCAGGGTGGGAGAAATGGAACAAGACAAAGGGGAGGAGAGGGGAGGGGAGGAGGAAGAAAGGGGCGAGGAGGAGGTGCGGAGCAGATGCGATTACAGGCGTTTTTTAGACCAGAGAACAAAAGGCCAGCAGCAGTAGAGGTGGGAGAGGGTGAAAGATGCAGAGCAAGGGGGGAAGGAGAAGGGCGGGGAACTGATAGAAGGGTCGCAGGAGGAAGTGTGAGAGGGGAGAGGAGGGAAGTGGTAGTAGCAGCAGCTGTAGGGGAAGTTCAAGGGGTGTGTGCTGCCACAGTGTGGGGAGCAGCGAGAGCAGAGGGAGCAGAGAGAACAGAGGGAGCAGAGAGAACAGAGGGAACAGAGAGAACAGAGGGAGCAGAGAGAACAGAGGGAGCAGAGAGAACAGAGGGAGCAGAGAGAACAGAGGGAGCAGAGAGAAGGGAGGGAGCAGAGAGAACAGAGGGAGCAGAGAGACGGTTGCAAGTAGGGAATCAAGTTGTTATGGCTGATCTCTGCATAGGCCAGAGGGAAGGCGAGGAGGGTGGAGCGGATGCGGGATGGTGTGGGAGGATCAGTCCCGGGGGAACACAGGCAGCAGCCTCTCAGGACGCTCAGTGCGTAGTAGGTGGGTGGAACAGGGAACGCAGTGGGGAGGAGGGGGCACGTGCACATGCACATGCACATGCACACGGGGGAGCAGCGGCCGCATGTGATCGTGACGCAGCAGAAGAAGCAAGGGAGCACGGTTGGATTCAGCAGCAGCAACAACAACCACGGCAGCAGCAGCAGCAGCAGCATCAGCGGCGGCAGCAGTGGCAGCGGGTGTTAGCGCGCATGCAGGCAGGGCCGCCACGGTGTGCGGGGCATGGCGAGGCATGTGTGGTGCGCGTGGTGAAGAGACCCGGTGCCAACAAGGGCAGAGGCTTCTACGTCTGTGCTCGAGCCAAGGTCAGTCCCTGCCAACCTGCAACTTGCCACTGCCACCCTGCCACTGTCAGCGTACTAGCTGCAAGCAGCACCCTGCTTGCTGCTCGCTGCTTGCTGGATGCCAAGCTGACAATCTTTCCTCCTTGCAATGCTCCAAGCTCACCTGTGCACGCACCACGCACCACGCAGCTCTCAATGCACCCATACGTGCCCATGCTCCTCTTGTTCAGCCCTACAGTGTCCTCTTGTATCCTATCCCACTACGTTTCTCTGCCCCATTCCATACCTACTCCTCCTTCGTCCTTCATCTCTTGTATTGCATTGCATCTCATGCTATGTCCTTCTCCACTGCTCGCCTCGTCGCTCCTCCTCTGTCCACAGGCCCCCTCGGACAACCCTCAAGCTCGCTGCAACCATCCATCCCTACTCCTCTGTTGTTCTTCATCTGCATTGCATCTAATGCTATGTCCTCCTCCACTCCTCTGCTCGCCTCGTCGCTCCTCCTCCACCTGCAGGGCCCCGCGGACAACCCTCAAGCTCGCTGCAACCATTTCGAATGGGTTGCCCGTTCCACACCTCCCCGGCGCCTAGCAGCAGCATCAGTTTCCTCCTCACCCACGCAATCATCAGCTATTCCACTCGGCCATTTGCCACAGAAGAGACAGCGGCTCGTGCCATAGGCACCACAACAGGGTACAGGATGCCTCTTTGCATGACTTGATGACCAGGGCCTCAGATATCAGAAAAAAAACCCTGAAATTCCTGATTTTGGCAGTCCTTTTTTTACCTACCCTGAAAAGTCAGTGTTGAGATTGAGGGACTGATCTTTCAGCCTTTTTTGTTAGGCCACACTGAAATTTCAGACTTTTTTCCCCTAGGACACTGATGCCACAACGTTGTAACGAAACCAACACTAAAGCGATTCTTACCTGTGCCATGTGGATTTGACCGCAATTACAGGGAATCTCAGATTCCTGAGGTGTAAGCACCCCGTGACGAGGCCAACCTGTGAAATTCTGCCTCTGGTTCACGTTCAGAGGTGTTTTGTTAGCACGGCGCCTCACACCATTGGGCCGTTTCGCTGCAGCAGTCAGTCTTGGCCAATCCGAACATGGCCACCATGTGGTGCTGGGGGGCTGCCAAGGATCCTGCCCCGTTGCCATCACATGCGACGCGTTAGTGCCAGCCTTTTTACTAGTGCTACACTGATACATCAGGCTTTTTACAAACGCAACACTGACATTTCAGGCTTTTTTTTTTGGAACACTGTCAATCAGAGTTTACACACAGGGGGACCCTGATGGGTTGACAACCCTCAAAGTGAATCTGAGGGCCTGTTGATGACTTTTGACTCGACTGAAATTGTGTCATGTGCCATTCTAACGAGATGACTTATGAGTCGCTTCAAAAGAAGAGACAGTGTGGCTCGTGCCAGGCACTAGTACCCGGTACAGGATACCTCTTCGCATGACCTGTAACCGGAATGGGTGCAAGCAGCTGCAAGTACTGATGGCAACCCCAACGAGCCATCTTCAGGCATTACTACAGTTTGCTATGCGACGTTATACGTACCCTTGAAGATAGAACTAGCTACAGTAATTGTCACGTCAATTCTATCTAGAAAAACACCAAGTATCTTAACACTACGCACATTGTACTTATTCCAATTCAAAGCTACGGTACATCCTATCACTACGAACACACAAGCACACAAGTATGAAGGGACATCTACCACAGGCAGAATTCCTTCCCTGCCACTATCTCTTCGGCCTACCACCACATCACCCTCCCCCTCTCTTTCCTCCACCCACTTCCGCCTCAACCCATCGGGGCCCTCCACGCACCCCACACCAAAGCCATCTAGCCACTTCCCCCAGGCACACACAAGCAGCACTCAGTATATGTAATCGGTCCCTGTATGAAGCATGTTCATGCACCCTCTTCTCTGCTACCGGTAACTGTCCAACGGTTTCCTTCACAGTATGCGGGACGAGGCGGTCGGTGCAGACAGCTTCCTGCCTTGCGCTGTGGCACCTGCACTCGCACACACATCAACACCAACCCCAACCCCCATAGGAACGAGGATAGGAGGGGGTGAAGGCACATGATTAGCAAAACGAGGATAGACACACAGCAAAATCACAAAAAAGCACAACAGAGTGCAAAACAACCAGGGAAAGCAACAACACCCAACAACACACTACCACCACCACCACCGCCCTCCAGCCATGCTTCTCACTTCCCCCACACTCACCGTTCCTCGGCCCATTATTCGCAGCAGGTCTCCCTCCCCTGGGTCCGCCCCACGGGGGCCGCTCTGCAGCAGCACCAGGCTTGGGGCTGGGGCTCCTCAGACTCGTCGTCCACTTCTGGAACTGCACCGCCAGCGCATCGCCCCTCTCCTCCGCGCCCGCCAAGTCATCCAGATCGGCCACACCACTCCCTGCCACGCTGCTCGCTGCCGTATGAGTCCGGTCGGCATGAGTCCGGTCGGTATGAGTGCGGTGGTCCGCGCTGCCCACCGACAGCCTCCTTGCTGCGGCCGCTGCCGCCGCCGCTCCTCCCGCTCCTCCTCCTCCTGCTCCGCCCCTGCCGATGCCGCTGCGAAGGGGGGATACTCCCGGACGGGCGTTCAGGCCTGCTGCCGCGCCGCCGGCACCAGCTGCTGTGCTGTTGCTGCCGAACGTGCTAGAGCGCTTCAGACCGGTCGTGGTGAACCCGCCCTTCACCGTGCTGCTACTGCTCTCCCTCAGTGACGATTCCCACCCGCTCTTCTTCGTCCCTCCTCCACCTCCGCCCCTGTTGGCAGCAGCCGCAGCAGCAGCTGCGGCATGGTGGTTGCTGCTGTTGATGCTCTTGCTGCCGCGCCCGCTGCTCAGCACATCCAGCCGATGCTCCCCTGCAAACGAGCCGCCGGCACCACCGCCAATGCTGCTGCGATGGTGAGACACCGACTGACGCAGCGGCTGCAGCAGGGTCGACGATCCACCGCCCTCCTCGCGCCTGCCGCTGCCACCCACCCCTGCGCCCACTCCGGGCCCCTTCAGCTTAGAAGCTCCTGCTAGAGACGCCCTCCGCCCAGCCGCTGCAGCAGCCGCAGCAGCGCCACCAGCGCTGCCGCCGTTAGCTGCTGCTGCTCCAATATCGCCAGCACCGGCGCTCTGGTTGGCACGGTAACCGAAGCTCGTCCCTCCGCCCACCACCACCTCGTGCCCCTTCATCCCAATCCCCGCCGCAGCCGCCGCCTCTGCCGCCACAGACGCCGGCGCAGCAGCCGCCGCCGCCGCCACTGCAGTCACCAACGCCGCTGCCGCACCCCCCTGCTTCCGCTGCTGCCTCACACTACCACTGGCGCTGCTGCTGCTACCGCTCTCCACCACATCCGGTAATCCAAACGCGTCCGTGCCTCTCCCCACGCCCTTGAGCAGAGAGCCCATGCCCTGCGCTGGCACCTCCAGGCCTGAACCACAGCTCCCTTCCTGCTCCTCCGTGTCTCCACTCGCCCCCCTGCTCCTCCCTCCCTTGCTGCCGCTGCTTCCAGGAGCAGGATCCTGCAGCATAAGCAGACGCCGAGACCCCGCGCCCAGGGTGTTGCTCGGGTTGCTCGCAGCCAAACCACCGACACCAGCAGCAGCACCAGGAGCACCCTTGCCGATTCCTCCTCCCACCCGGCTGGGCGACGCAGTGCCGCGGGCGGGGGAAGGCAAGGGAGCGGCAGCGAGGGAGTGCAGAGGCGAGACGAGGCCTGACGTCGACACTGCCAGCGGCGACACAGGAGCATGACCGCCAGCAGAAGCAGAAGAAGAGGGGCGGTGGGAGGAGCGGTCAGCACTGACAGACCTGCCCAGAGGACCTCCCCTCTGCAGACCCGTCGCAGCCCGTTCTCCTCCTGCCACTGCTCCAGCAGCAGACACAGCACCACCCGCACCACCAGCACCGCCACCGCCGGCAAGGCTGGTCCGGCGTCCCGCACGCGCCGCAGCAGCAGCACCGGCGCTCCCTCCGGCGCCCACGCCAGCGGCGCCAGTGCCAGCAGCCGCCGCAGCGCCCGAGGTAGCGCACACAGCAGGCGCCTTGGTCTTGCTAGCCGTAGACGCAGTGGGCGCGAGGAAACCCGCGGATTCCAGAGGCACGGGGGCCTTGGCCGCCTGCCGCAGAGGCGACTTGACGGGGACCGCCGCGTGAGACGCAGCAGCAGCTGCGCCAGCACCAGTGGCGGCAGTGGCGGCCTTCAGTCGAGCGCTCACCTCCGATACAGTCTGCACAACCGCGCTCTCTCCCTGAGCCTCTGCCTGCGCCTCTTCCGTCGCAGGAGCTCCAGGCGACGCAGGTCGCGACCTCGCGACGGGCGACGGCGACGACGAGGCAGCTTGCGAAAGCGCAACGGGCGACGGCTGCGCGAAAGCAGCAGCAGGCGGGGTCACAGGCCTCGTGACAGGAGCAGCCTCCACCGGGACGGCCGCGGGAGGAGCAGAAGTAACAGGAGCAGGAGCAGGAGCAGGAGCAGGAGCAGGAGCAGGAATAGGAGCAGCAGGGGGAGGAGGGCTGCACGGCGGGCTGATGGGACCCAGCGCGCTCTCAAGCCCCTCCGTCGTCACCTCTCGCTCCCACTCGCTCTCGCTGCTGCCGCTGCTCGCGCTGCTGTTGCTGCTGCTCGCAGCCGCCGGTGCTGCCGCTACCGCCGCCGCCGCTGGAGTTGGCACCACGGCCTTAGCAGGCACCACGCTCTGCTGCTGCTGGAACTGCTGCTGCTGCTGCAGGAGCAAGGCTTGGCGCGCAGACCCAGCCGTGAAGAGCGACGAGCCGCCGCGCCGGTAGTCGCGCTTGTAGCTGCGCTCGCTCTCCGTCTCGCTCCAGTCGCCAGCCGCGCTCCTGCAGTCCTCCCAGTTCTCCTCCTCATCGTCCTCAAACACGTCCTCCTCTTCGTCCTCCTCTTTCTCCTTCTCCTTCTCCGCTTGCGCCGCCGCCTGCGCAGCCGCCTGCGCCTCCGCAAGCCTCTCCGCCTGCGCCTCCGCCGCCCGTGCCTCAGCAGCTTGCTCCGCCGCTGTTGGCGCTGGCCCGTGGAACGAGTCCACCACTGGCACGATCTTCTCACCCTCCTCCTCCTCCTCCTCCTCCTCACTCTCGCTCTCGCTCTCGCTTTCACTGCTCGAGCTATACGCATTGCTCCGCTCGATGGATTCCGCCTGCGCCACTTCGTTCTCCCCTTCCGCCCACGTCTGCTGCTGCAGCCTCCGCGCATCCCCCGCGTCCGACTCCGCCTCCTCCTCCGCCTCTTCCGCGAAAGTGCTCTCGCCCGCAGAGAGCGCGATAGTCGCGGAAGCGGGGACAGCAGCGGACGCCGATTCCGCCGCCTGCGCCTCTGCCTGCTCCTGGCTGTGCTCCGCGCTCGCAGCCGCCCCATAGTCCGGCGCTCGCTTGGCGCGCAGCATCACCATGTCGTCGCCGTCGCTGCCATAGTTGATCGGCGACTTGAACTCCGCCGCAGCAGCCGCCGCTACAGCCGCCGCCGCCGCGGCCGCCGCAGCTGCGCCGCCCTTGTACGGGTCGGGCGCGGGGGCGGAAGCTGGCAGGCGGAACGTGGTGCTCGCGGAATCGAACGCGGAGTAGCGGAAGGCTGTAGCAGGGCGGACCGACGAAGCCACGGAGCTGGGACTGGCGGCTGTAGCATCAAGATAAG